ATTCTCATAACTACACATCTTTAAAGCGTTTGTGTAAAGTATCATTAAAATGTACTGAATTGAATCCATTTTGTGAGTACTTTTAGACTGTAAACAATGAGGGCTGAGGGCTGGCCGCTTAAAAGAGGTAACAAAGAAAAAAAAGACAGTAGAAAAGCCATCATCGGGACTTTGAATTCATTGCTGACCACCTAATAGGGCTGGCCGTTTAATACGACCCCTTCCTGACAAAGAAAATAAAACATCCATTCCTGAAGTTTCAGACAACCCCCCTCCCATAAAACGGCCTATAATTTGTAATAATCCGCCTTTTCAGCTTCCTAAAATAAAATGTAACTCCTCCTTCTCTCCCCCCTCCCCCTCCCCCGTCATGTCAACACAAATGAAAGGCCCTTTAAAGTTCTTAGTCTTGTTATTATAGGATCAATGTAAGCGGTAATCGGTCGTTTTCAACGTGAATAAAGAAACTATCTGTTATTTTCATAAGTTAGTTTTTGTCAGGTCGCTGAAAGAATTTGCGATCAGTAAGGGTCCAGTAAAATTTGACACACGAGCGGTTCTGTTTCTCATGCGCTAAAGAGCTGTTATAAATACCTTGCCCCGGACGTAGCAGGTTTTGAAATCACAACAACAGAGCGACAAACCAAACAGATTAAGTTCTTGAACAAACTAAGGGCGACAAATACTTCACAAATTACAGCTATTGGATAACACTTGTAGGTGGTCGTGGAATGAGGTGAAACTTTCGGAAAGACTTTCCTCGCATTTTGTGATGCGATTGTTGCCAAGAAACGAATAACTAAGCTGCTTGAAAGAGAGAACCGCTCTGTAACCATTAATTTGGGCTAAAGTTGTGCCTTTTCCTGTTCAAGACGGACCGAATGGATTAAAACATGGGGCTGCCGGATACTTAAGCATTAGGTCTGGCCATAATATAATCTTATGTAAATAAAAATGCTCGTGCAGATTTGCCAGTAAAATGTGTATCTGTGTCACACAAGAACGGCGAAACGGGGAGCCAGTGACGGCTTGGCATGCACGCGATGCTGCGAAGGTCACGCGAGTGAAAGCGCGGGAAAAGTCTTAATTTGTTCCTAGATTCCTGCTGTTGTGACCATGAAAACTGGATGATTGCGAGAAAATTCACCTTGGAAGGAAGTAGATAGTTCAGTGTGGGATGGCCCATGACCTATCGTCTTAGTCGTGCCAGTGGAATGCCATGAAGACTGTAATTACTCACTATCATTTTACATTCAAATACCCTGAGAAATGCAAAACCGCAGTGGCATTGCGATGAGAGGTCCCGGATCTTTTTGAGACCAAAATCTGCAAAATACGTTAGATAATAAGTAGTAAACAGCAGCTGCCTAAAACGTTTGTTTTACAAAAAAGGAGCCATTTGACGTGTGCATATTCTAGTCAATAATCTGTATATTCAATTGTGTTTTTGTATCTAGTTTCTATTTTTCCTTGTCGCCTGATTAGTCGTCTGTTTACTGCTTATCAACTTCCGATATCCTAGACCCTCGTACTGTAATCGCATCATATGGACACGAGACGTAATTAAATACAAACCTTTTAATATTCTCCAGTCAAACACCAGACGTTTTGTAAGCAACTTTTGGCTGCTTGTACGTCTCGTGAGTTCTGAGCTAGTTCGACAACCTACGCCATTGGTAGCCAGGGATACGGAAAAGGTGAGTTTTCCAATGTTTAATTGTAAAAATTCATTGAAAAGTTTATCTTGTGGTCACGATATCTATGCACAAGAACTGAATCCCTCTCTTCAGTTTGGCATGTGCTTTTGTCTGACTTTCCAGACTATGCCACAGATTTTTGAGGTTTCTCTTATCTCGGATTTATAATTTTATAGAGTAAAGTGTTTTGCAGTAAGACCAAAAATTACATGATATATTTCGAGCAAAACTAAACAACGGATACTTAGTTAAAATACGAGAACTGTTAATTTGTAAGCAGAGAAACGATTCCTTCGAGTAAGATCAACTATCAACTACCCCCGGAAAATACAGCGTGCGCATATGCCCTCGTGTTGTTCTGGGGGTGGGGAACAGGGGGGTGGAGGTGATGGTCACTGCTTAACGCCCAGTGTGCCACCAGACACTGCTAGGAAAGATGATGACGAAAGCCATTGAAACAGATTTTAGCTGTGATCTTGCAAGAACACTCATCATAACCTTTCAACTAGGAAACATTTCAACAANCACAAGAATTGAATCCCTCTCTTTAGTTTGGCATGTGCATTTGTCTGACTTTCCAGACTATGCCACAGATTTTTGAGGTTTCTTTTATCTCGGATTTATGATTTGCCACACTAAAGTGTTTTGCAGTAAGACCAAAAACTACATGATATATTTCGAGCAAAACTAAACAACGGACACTGGGTTAAAATACGAGAACTGTTAATTTGCTAGCAGAGAAACGATTCCTTCGAGTAAGATCAACTATCAACTACCCCCGGAAAATACAGCGTGTGCATATGCCCTCGTGTTGTTCTAGGGGAGGGGAGCAGGGGGGCGGAGGTGATGGTCACTGCTTAACGCCCAGTGTGCCACCAGACACTGCTAGGAACGATGATGACGAAAGCCATTAAAACAGATTTTAGCTATGATCTTGCAAGAACACTGATCATAACCTTTCAACTAGGAAACATTTCAACAAAGTTTAATTATGGAAAATGAGGTTACAGTTATATGAATTATCCTTTCAACTCTATCTTTCAACTCTAAATTGAGATGACCGGAACTAGTGGATTTTGCGATAATGTTTGAAGCATTTGTGGTGCAACTGCGGCGGCTGGTTCGTTGGTAAAGTTTCAAGTTGCAAAGCTGGTGGACCACACTTGCACAAAAAAAATAATTGTGAAGTAGATCAAGGGTATAGTTGTTTAACTTTGCCAGGCGACGCAGTTTTTCAGACAGTTACAACAGGAAAAACAACCTGTTACTAAGTTTGACTTTCACAACTCTTGTTGAGGGTGAATCCCCGATCTCGGTGAATTTCGTGACCACATGATTGCGTGAAGGGGTTTAGGGTGTCGAGTCCCTTGCGTGCCAAGTCTCTCAGGGATTCTTTTATGAATATTGAATTGTTTCTGGTTACGACTTCAGAGGCGTCTTTCGTGTCTGCAATAATAATAAAAAGAAATAATTCTTAAGACTGGCTGGTCTTAAGGGGTTCGACGAGTCCACTTAATCGGGAACGCACACTAATTACAAATTTACATATAAATAGATATAAACTTAAAATCTCTTCATTACAGTAGAGTCTTTATGTGAAATTATTATTCATAAACATTCGTCATACTGTTAGAACTCGGCTAGAATGTTATAAATGCGGCAATGTAATCTGAGTAGCTCATTTATCGTTTATTAGATTGGTTTTCACCTTTAAAATCCCATTCATGACTAGACACGTTTGTCGCTCGCTCAGGATGTCTATCTAGTTTCTAGTATAAGGTTATCTATTGGCATGCACGCTTGCAGACAATACCTTATCTCGTGGCACCTTTCTGGGGCCACGCACGTTAGGGTTAATTCAATTTTTCGTCCCTCCCTTTGGCTTAAGAAAGGTCTCGAGTTTTCTCATATGGGTATTTTAGCCTGCGCGCGTACAGGCGTCTTCATTAAATTTGACCTTCACCTTACTGCTGCGTAGCGGTCTCCGGCTTTTGTCAATTCACATAACCTAACATATCCAAATCCTATCCTTAGGATAAGGAGGCTCCCCTCCCCCTCCCCTGTCACCTCAGTTGTTTTTTAGCTTCGTTANAGAAGTGGAAAATTTGTAACTTCTTACGATCAGATTTTTTCTGTTTTGTTTTTGTTTTTGTTTTTTTTGCTTTTTTTTTTTGTCGAGCACCTTTACTTGAGCCCTGGCTCGGGAGAATGGGCTACCACTCCCTTTGTCACGACTTTCAATAAGTTGTTAGTAAAATTATCACTGTGCGCCAACTGACGATGATGAATATTTTCCAAAATAATTCGCGCGGCGAAAGCTTTTCCTAAGCCCGATTGACAAAAGGTCTCTGTAGTCGTTTTCATGGGAAACAGGTGATACCCTAAGCTCTAGGAAGTCCCCTCAGGGGGCTTATTCTCAACACCTTGAAGGATTTGTGGAATGGAGCTGCCAATAAGAGAGGGACCTGAAAGGTCCAAATCCCAAATCAGCCATTACGGGGGCCTTGCATACCGCCGGTGCGCCTAAAATTAAATTGGCTAATCAGGATTCAGCAGACGGGAAAACTGTAATGTCCCGACGAGAAATGCATGTTAAAAGAAAATGCATTCATCCTGTCGGGCATCTTTTCTGACTGGAAAAAGGAATTTCTAACTTTAAATCATATTAGTAAATGACAGACTTTGTACCTTCAAGCTTTTAATTTGGCGCCAAAAATGGGTCACTCACTCGTCGAGTGTCACCAGCAGGTAAGATAATAGTTGTGTTATTTTGAACAAAATAAGTCGCTCCTTGTCAAATTACACCCAAAATTCTCGATTTAAGAAAAGCGACTATAATCGTGTCGTGTCGGTAGGATAGCTCGGCTTTCACCGCCACTCGTACTGCGCGCGCATCCACCGTATGCAAGGGTAATTTTCCAACGGCATATTGAGTTTATGATTGCAGTTTACGTACCTACAAAGCGATTTCCATCTCCAATCTTTGTGAGCACGCACGTTTAACTTACATAGAGGGGTTTATTTGGTCATGGTAAACTCCCTTCGCCTTCGATTTTCCAGTGAGCAGGTCTACGCGGCGTTGTAACAACCAAGTAATAGCTTTTTATAACATGGGCTATTTTCGTCCAATCAGAGTGTACCATAAAGGGTGTAATTACGGGTTGGTAATGCTTTGTATTTTTGACTTCGTGGTGTGCGAGGTGCTCGCCTTAGCTTGCTGTGAATAGGGAAATCTGTCAGCACTGTTCCAGCTAGGAATGGAATCCATAAGCCAACCTAGCCGGAGATTGAATTAATTTTTTTCAAAATTTAAACGATCGATGATATATAGTTAGACCTGAACTCTTCCAAGCAGCTCATCTCATTCACTTCTTTTTTAGAACTCTTCCAAGTCATGTTACTGATCTGGATCCTCGTACTGGGTATTACAGGTAGGAAAGTTCAAATAAATTAGTAAATAAATAGATTATCCAAATACAGAGGATTGGAGTTCCGCAAGCCCTGTGACAAGGGGCTAACGGTCGAAACATTAGCTTAACAAATTCGCCATAGCGGTCAATTTACCTTGATCGACTTGAAGTTGGTCAGTAACCGGTGGTGAATTTCCCGCCAACGCAACACAACATTTTCTTTGGAAACTAATCGTATTTGACAAAAGGATATAATCCTTCCGATTCATTTGAAGGTAACTTTGTGGTGAACAGCCAGCTTTACGGTCCTTGGAGTGACTGGTCTGAATGTAATGTAGATGAAGGGCAGGGCGAAATGAGTCGTACAAGAAAGTGTATAGTGGACGAGTGCCCTGAGCCTGGAGAGTACTTAGACTTCATGGCATGTTTTGTAAAGCCGTGCAAGTGTGAATGTCCTCCCACATAAGGTACACGACAGATCTGAAATCAAAACGAAATAGTTGGTTGAAGTGTCTTAGGTACAGAATTGTTTGATCAAAGAACAATGTGGTAATTATGGTTGCCTCGTTACAACCGGAAACGGACGACAAACGCATCATAAAAGAAGGGACTGACTGGCTAAAGATGGACTGACGGACGAACTTTCAATAACTGCTCCACTGTCCGATTGTCTGACTGCCTGATTTTCAAATGGTCTGACGATCTGACTGTCGGACTGTCAGTCTGTCAGACTGTCGGACTGTCCAGCTATCAGACTGTCGGACTGTCAGTCTGTCAGGCTGTCGGACTGTCCAACTATCAGACTGTCGGACTGTCAGTCTGTCAGGCTGTCGGACTGTCGGTCTCTCAGACTGTCAGACTATCTGACTATCTGACTGTCGGACTATCAGTCTGTCAGACTGTCGGACTGTCCGACTAAAAGACTGTCGGACTGTCAGTCTGTCAGACTGTCGGACTGTCCGACTATCAGACTGCCGGACTGTCAGTCTGTTGGACTGTTGGACTCTCCGACTATCAGACTGTCGGACTGTCAGTCTATCAGACTGTCGGACTGTCCGGCTATCAGACTGTCGCACCGTCCGACTATCAGTCTGTCAATTTCTGTCAGACTGCCGGACTGTCGGACTGTTGGACTGTCGGAATGTCGGACTGACCTGTCGGACTGTGTGTCTAAACGTGTCTAAAGAAAGTACTTACTTACGTAGCTGTTGACTGACTGACTGACTGACTGACGGACTGACTGATGGACTGACTGATTGACCTACTGACTGACGGACTGACTGATTGACTGATTGACACGTTTAATTTGCAGCACCAGTGATCACTACTGTAGATGGTAAGAATAAACTCATAAAGTACAAGCCAATATTTACCCCTGTATCGGTACAAGGGGAGAGGGGTGGTGGTGGTGGACCCCCTCAGGTTTTCGTTGTAATACGACATATGATAATGATTTGAGTTTAATAGTTAGCTCTTAGCTCACTCTTTAAGAGGATGTTTATTGCTGGTCATGACGAAGTGTAGCGCACATTGCGTCACCAGGCGTCTTAAAGTCTGCCATCTTGAATTTCACCAATTTTGCTAGAAAGTCAGAAATTCGGAGTAAAAAGTCAGAAACTAACGTGAATTGATGGAACATAAGCTAACATTATTCCAAAATTATAATGAAATGTAAACAACAAAACAAAATTTGTATTTCTGTGAGGCTGCGCAAGAAAGCTGAAAAGAAAACTCCGAAAAACTCCATCAAAGAGACATGGCCGAGCCCACAGATGAAAAGAGCGGTTGCTATGCCAGTGTCAATTAACTCGGAGAAACAGTTGTAACACGATGGAATTTAAGGGATAATTAACAGCTACTGAAAGTTTCAGCATCAAAGAACAGAACCACTTTTTCAAAACTCTAAAAATCCGGGGAGAGAGGGTCTTCCTACAACTCGTTGTGTCACTGAGGGTTAACATAAACAGCATTTAATTTTTTTCAATCCTAATTAGGCTGTGTTGATCTTACTTTTAATTTGCATATTTTGTTTCTCCCAGCACCAAAGATAACTACTTCAGATGGTACATTTGACATCAATATTACCTGCATTTATATTAGCTTTTTCCTTTTCAGTTTCAGTCTAGTTTCAGCTCAGGTTATAAGCCCAAGTATTACTAGCAATTGTTTAATTTTTTTGTATTTCATGTAAAATTCCATTATCGTTGTCTTTACTTTCTCTTTAATGTATTTCATTTTCAGCGCCAGAGATAACTACTACAGATGGTAAGTCTATAGTGATAGTTGTTGTTGAAGTTTGTCATGGTACGTTTTATACTCTTATACGTTAACTTTTCTGCTGTTTCATCTGCAGCACCAGAAATACCTACTACAAATGCCGGTAAGTTTGACCAAATTATCACTCGCAGTTTCTGTTTTTCAATCAAATTTAGCTAGTGACACTTCGATATATCTTTAAACGATTTCATGCATTTTCATTACATTTCCAGAACAAGAGGTAACGACTACAGACAATAAGTCCTACTATTGATATGAGAAAAATATTATTTTCTTTGTTTTTCATTCTGATTTTATAAATACTCTTCTCACTATATCCTATCAGTTATCTTTCTTGAGACACTTATAGCCTAGCTTCAGAGATAGCTTGTACAGATAGTAAGTCTAAAATATACCTTTTTAAATGGTTAGGTTTCTCTCAAGTCAATTTTATCTCTTGTTTGCTTATCTGAAAGAATTTTCAAATATCACGAGTAGTGTAAATCCTTAATTACTCGACCTTTCATACTATTAACTATTTATTATATGGCTGAGAAAATTGCGAACATGTGAGCGTTATTTTGCAGTGCAGTACAAATTAAAAATTGACGATAAATTGGCCTTCTCTCAACCAATCACGATAAAGTAATAATTACTCTTAAACTATTGTACCATTTTAATTGCGGCACCAGAGATTACCACTACAGATTGTTAGGAAATCGTATTTGGGAAGAAGTTTCCAAAACTTGGACCGAATTTTCAAGACCTGCGGCGAATTCTCAAGGTACCGCGAACTTTCGTTGCGAAAGTTTACGAAGCCAATTGTGAAAATTGTGACAGTGTACTTTAATCCTTAACACGATCTCTTTTGCCATTTCAGTTCCGGCACAAGAGACAACTACCACAGAGTGTAAGTTAAACTTAATTACTACCTTATTGAAGTCATGTGTTTCAATGATTCGTTTTCATTCTTATCGTATCACAACCTTTGTGTTTCAATCTAATCTATCTTTCGTGTCTTGTCATTTCCAGTATCAGAGATGGCTACAACAGGTGGCAAGTTTAACATGGATTTCAGTTAAGTGTTTGTGTGTGTATCGTCACAATTTTAATGTTATCTTTCTGCGGATTTTCATTCCTAGCTCCAAAAATTACAACTACGGATAGTAAGTCTGACTGCCTATTCGTTGAAAATAGTTTCATTTTTTAACTTGATAATCCAATTTCAACCTTATGTTGTGTGTTTTGTTTTTTTATCTTTCAATAGCAGCACCAGAGATACCTTCTACAGATGGTAGGTTTAACAAATTAATCACTTAAATCGTCATAGCTTTAAGATTTCTGTCTTGTTTCGTTATTTTTATTATTTTTACCTTAAATGATTTGTTCCGAGAGCTCACGTACACCTACATTAAACATATAGCTTATGCAAGGAAAACACTAATATCTCTACAAACAAATGTTTAACACATTAAGATACAAAACAAACTGAAACCGTTTGGACTTTTCTTTTAAATCCCTGAACGCGACAGAACGTTTTCTTCGTTTGATAAACTCACGAGAAGAGCCAAATAACAAGAGATCCACTTTTGAGAATCCGGACATCTCAGCCATTGCACAATAGCGACAATGTGAACAGTGCATTTATCAATCAATCAATCAATCAATTAATCAGTCAATCAATTAATCAGTCAATTAATCAGTCATTAAGCCAGTCAGTCAGTCGATCAATCAATCAATCAATCCATTAATTAATTAATTAATCGAAATTCGTTAAAATAATCCCTTGTGGAAATATTCCACGTTCGTGTGAACTGTTTTTCTATGTCGTTTGGCATTGCCATAGCGACCGCATTTTGGCAGGCAGGTCAAACCACATTTCATCTCTTTTTTGACAGAATTCTTCTTTGTTTTTGTTTTTTTTTTGTCCGTTTTCTTGAACAGTGTTGCAAACTTAGATTCTTTTTCATTACGCCATTTATCAATCTGTATTAATTTGCCTTCAATTTACAGTATTTTCTTATTTTTTGAGATTTTATTCTATTACAGCTGGCAAAAAAACCTACCAACAAAAGTGTAACAAGAGTTGATGGTACTAAATTATAGAGCAGTTTTCACTTGAGTGAGAGCGATTTGCATTTGCTACTTCGTTAGGTGATTTTCTTAAAAATCTCGCCCTATTTTGTCATCTAATCAGAAGTAAAAACTACCAATCGACATTAACGCGCACGCGTTTTCCCTCGCTTCTCGTTGTCGACATGTATATTCTTAGGTTTTGATTGGTTTTATTGGATTGCTTCTGTTCTTTGTGATTAGTGTGAGTTACTTACTTTAATGTGGTTCTGGTTTTATGACACTCATTCGAAAACCGCTCTAATACTGCTAGCAATAACGATGTTAACAGTAGTTTAAGGTTGTCTTGATGTTGCTTTCTGCATTTTTTGGGAAAATGGTGAGGTCCAAGATGGCGGATCTAAGCTGCCTGACATTGGACCTAAGGTGACGTCATATCGCTTCATGACCAATAGAAAAACAGATC